TATGGGGCACAAGTATGATTAAATTAAGGATCCTGAGATAAGGGGATTGTTCTAAATGATAGGAGTGGGCACAATCTAATCACATAAATCCACCGTTGTGATCAGAGAGATGTCACAATGAAGAGAGGACTGGCGACCTGAGAAGAAAGGAGGATTCAAAGCCACTGTTACTGCATTCGACGGTGGAGCAGAATCCACGAGCCAAAGAATGAGAGGTTTCTAGGAGCCGGGAAAGACTCTCAGCTGAAAGCCAGCAAGAAAATGGGAACCCAGGGCCAGCAATTTAGCTCAGTGGTATAAGTACCTACCTAGTAAGTGTTCAATCCCGGGTACCACCAAAAAAAAAAAAAGATGGGAACCCAATGCTAAAACATCAAGAAACAGAATTTGGCTGGGTGTGGTGGTACATGCCTATAATATGAGGAACTGAGGCAGGAAGGTTGCAAATTAAAATCCAATCTGGGCAATTTAGAGACTTTGTCTCAAATTTTTAAAAAGTGAGGCCAGGGATGTACTTCAATGGGAAATCCTGTACTGCAAACAAAAAGAAAAACAAAACAGAAAATTCTGCCAACAATTTGAACAAGCAAGGAAATGAATCCTGCCCTGGAGCTTCCAGAGGCAAACACCATCCGGTTGATGCTTGGCTCCAGCCTGGCTGGGATGCTAACCCACAGGTGGGAAACTGGGAAATGCACCCTCTGTCAGCCTTGGAGGGTTTCTGAAACAATAAAAACAGTCAGTACTCAGTAGAAAAGTGTACCTGTGTGCACCAGGGAGCCCCAAACTGGAAACAACCGAGCTGGCCATAAACAGGAAGTTAAAATAAAAAAGAGCAATGCAAATCGAGGAAGGCAGGGGCAGCCTAGTGGAGGAGCCCCCAAGCACGGGCGGAGTGTAGAGCAATCTAGTCATCCTGCACTCGAAACCCATCAGCAAAAAGACAGACCGTAGAGCTCCATGTACGTAAGTTTGAAGCCAGGCAGGGGAAGGGGTATGCAGCTCAGTGGTAGAGCACATGCTTAGCATGCATATGGCCCTGGATTCCCCCCTCAGCATCAAAAAATCAAGCCAAAATATTACAAAACACACACACAAAACACAGGGCAAAAGCTATTCTCAGGCCAGAGACACAGTTCTGTAGCACAGTGCCTGCCTGGCAAGTGCAAGGTCCTGAGTTTCCTAATACCAAAAAAACAAAGTTATCAAGACTTGGGAGGCTGAGGCAGAAAGATCACTCTGAGTTCAAGGCCAGCTAGGGATACAAAGTGAGTTCAAGGACGGCCTAAACTATGTGTCCAAAAGCCAGACCCTGTGTCAAAACAAAACAAAACAAAACAAAACAAATGTTATTCACTTAGGTAGCTTTCTGTTATTGTAACAATAGGAGGCTAGCAATTTACAAAGAAAAAAGGTTTGTTTAACACACAATTCTGGAGGCAGGGAAATTCATGAACAGGCAGCTACACAGTTTTGGAGGGCACAAACTATTCTGAAACCACAGCAGCTTCTTACCTCAGATGGAGCTTACAATGGTGGTGGCCTGCCGGGAGGGCCGAAAAGGGACCACTGGAGCCTGGTCCAGGGAATGTTCTAGATCTTTGTGGATCTGCAGCCCCAAGTTCACCTCGGTGTGGTGGCTCAGGTGATGGGTGCTTATCTGCACGTATGTTCTGCTCTGGTTAAAAGCTACTTAGTTTATCAAACTTATTAAAAATTTAAGCTAAAGCCCACTTTGTAATGCTGATTTTTCCCCCTCATATATTATGTGACCACTTCATGTTTTTCATCACAGATTCCTCCCCTGAAACCAGAAGAACAGAAAACTCCATTGAAATGCCACTAGACAGCACGATACATGGGAGTGAATTTAAATGCACACTCTTTCGTTCATCTGTTTTAAAATTGTGTTTATTTACTTAGAGAATAGCAAATTCTTTCTCCCAAAAGCAACTAGCATTGCATTGTTAGCATTTTTCTGTTGCTTTTCAGTATTTTTGTATAAAATCATACACATATCACTTTATTGTTTTTTCCACGAGGTAAACAATTTCGTTCCACCAAGATTTTCTGCTATTATGTTCTGCTTCACTTCAGGCTCACAATGGAGCCAGCTGACCATGGATTGAAATTCCTGCAGTTGTAAACCAAAATCAACATTTCTTCTTCTAAATTGACTTTCTCCTGCATCATATTATGGAATGGAAAATTAACACACATCATAAGGAGTATATATAATATTTAAATATATGTAAGATACCAAGGTAAAATATGAAGTGTGATAAAATAGTCTAACTTTATTAGAAATATATAAAACAGCCTCACTATAGGGGCCATGTTAAAAAATATTGACCTAAGAAACTTTAAAACTAGGTACAATTTATGAGATTGAAGGCAAAGTCAGTGCACTATGTCTGATAAATATTTCCCCATAGGACACTATTTATAAACTACACCTAAGAATGTATCCCAGGATAAAAGTTAATGTAGTGTGGCTAATGGTGGGAGCCAAGTTTCACACAGTTATACTATGACATTACAGATACCAAACTACACCTATGGGCCTGTATTTATTTTCCTCTCTCCTAGGGCAAAGTCCTCAGTTCCGTTGGTGGAGACTGGACAGTTCCTCTATGAATGGACACTTAAGTTAGGGCCAGGCTTTTACCATCATAAACCATGGTACAGTAGGTATCACAATCAAAGTTACTTCTCAGTAAATTTACTTTAAGTAAATAATCATTGATTTGAAGCTAAGGTGATTGTTAGCATTGTTTTCCATCTTTAAAAAGGACCTTTTATGGAGAAGGACACACCTGTAAAGGAGTCTATTCACCCAATAGATATGTCAGTGCCTGATTAAGGTTCAGCCAAAATAATCTAAGAAAATCATCACAGAGTTGAAAAATATTATTTTAATGTTTTTCCTTAGGGCTGCTATAACAAAGTACCGCAAACTGGGTGGCTTTAAACAACAAGAGTCAAACTTCTTTTTTTTTTTTTTTTTTTTCTTTTTGAGACAGGGTCTCACTATGCAGTTCAGGCTGGCCTTGAGCTCACTTTGTAGCCCTGGCTGGCCTCGAACTCCAGAGTGCTGGGATTACAGGCATGCGGCCCCCCCACCCCCTCACCATCCTGCTAGTCAAAGTTCTTGAGACTAAAAATCAGGAAGTTAGAGGTCAGCTGGCCATGCCGTCTCTACAGGCTTTGGGACCAGTCCTCCCTGCTCCACCTTTTGGGTACCTGTAACTACCTCCGGGTGGCTCCTGTGATGCTTGGTACCCCTGGCTGGTAGATGCATCTGTCCCATCTCTGTCTATGGCAGCCCCTCTCTTAGGAGCACACCAGTCAGTGGGTAAGGGTCTCACTTTAACCTCACCTTGGTTACTAATATACACAATGACCCTGTATCCAAACAGTATGACTTTCTGAGGAACTAGAAATTAGGTTCCAGCACCTTTATTTCTGGGTGGGGGCACAATTCCTCCTGCAACAAATGTTGCATTCTGTTCTGTACTATTTGAACATTTCACCTTGTTCACCTATCTATTTAAAAATAACTTTTTATGAGTAGTATAAGTCCTCTGTAATCACTGTACTCTGGGAGGCTGAAGCAGGATTGCAAGTTCCAGCCAAGCTTGTAACGTGGTGACTTAATAAGATCATCTCAAAAGTAAAAAGGAAGCCGGGGATATAGCTCAGCAGTACAGTGCCTACCTGGCAAGTGCAAGGTCACAAATTTGATCCTCAGCACCAAAAAATGAAATGGAAACTAGGAATGCCAGACATGGTAGCACAAGCCTGTAATCCCAGCACTCAGGAGGCTGAGGCAGGAGGATCGTTGCGAGTTTGAGACCAGTTTGGGCTACAAAGTGAGCTCAAGGCCAGCCTGAACTGCATAGCGAAACCCTGTCTCAAAAAGACCAAAAAAAAAAAAAAAAATAGTATATAGTTGGTACATGACTAAGGAAACAAATGGATATTATAGGTAGTTTTGTTGATAATTGATGTTAGCATCACATAAATACTTGACAACTGCCACAGACAGGGTATAGCTTCATGGTAGAACAAATGTTTTGCATGAACAAAGCCCTGGGTTCAATACCAGTGTCTTGGTTACTTTCCTCACTACTGAGAAAAATACCTGCCACCCACAAGTTAGAGGAAGAAAGGTTTACTTTGGCTTGGTTTCTCCATAGTTTGACTGGTTCCCAGACAGAGCGGCACTGCAGAAGGTGTCTCAGAGAGAAACAGTCTATTGAAAAGCAGACAGGAAGCCGCAAAGAGTGAAGCAGCAAGCAGCCCTCCTTCCCCTTCTGCCCCATCCAGGCTACAAGCCTTTTGAGTGGTGCCACTCGCACCCAGGATGGGATTTCTGTCTTCAGTAAACCTGTTCTGCCACACCAAGAACTGTGCTAATTCTAATCAGTAGGTGAATTTAGTACCACACCCCCTTAATCCCAGTATCACAAACCCTAGATCTAGCCAACTCCCAAAAGCCGCATCTGAGCCTGGATTGGTGGGGAACACCTATAATCCCAGCACTCAGGAGACTGAGACAGGAGGATCTCTGTGATTTCAAGGCCAGCCTGGGCTCCGTAGTGAGATTCTGTCTCAAAAACAAAAAACAGTGCTCACTGGGCTTGGTCTTCTCTGCTAGGATTATTTCCAAAAGATGAAAAATATTTTCAAAAGATGAGTAATATAAAATAAAAAGCGGCCTTTATTCTGAGAACACGGAGAGAGATGACTGGCACCCCCACCGCTGGGGTCCGGCGATGTCTCTGGAGGACACGTGGCATGGGGGCATGTAAATAGCCTCAGTTTGGGGTGGAACCTAAGGCGGGCATTAGGGATGCACAGGTAGCCCATTGGTCCTAGGTTTGGCGCCATATGTAAATTTCCTAAGGGTGGGAAGATGGCGTCACAGGTAACTTCCTAGGGGCGGGGGAGATGGGGGCTTCCTGCTTCCGGTTGAGGCTTTCCTGGCTACAGTGTCCTATCTGGGCCAAAACCCTTTCATTCTCCATGTGGTCCTGACCTGCCCACTTGTCAGCAAGAGAATTGGAAATGGTTTGGGGGTGTCCTATCTGAGTGAACATTGGACACCACGGTTTTCAGTACAACAAATGAAAAAAAAACAAAAACAAAAAACAAAAAACAAGGCCAGGGATATAGTTCAGTGGCACAGTACCTGCCTGGCAAGCATGAGATCCAGTATCCAAAAAAAAAAAAAAAAGGATTGATAAGTGCCCCCGAGGAGTCAGCCCTTGTACTAAGTGCTGGAGGTACAACAACAACAACAACAAAAAAAAAAACAGCAAAAGTCTTTACTCTCTTGGGTAGAGAGTACAAACAGTGATTGAGTAAGTAACTGTGTCATTGTCTAGACAATAATGATGGTGGTATGTTAGATGTGGTTTCCCCAGGGTTCATATGCCCAAAGCCCAGCTGGGTGGTAGAGTTGGGGGACAGTGGAGTACTCTGAAGTTATGGGACCAAACGGGAGGTTCTTAAATCACTGGAGGAGCTGCCTCTGGAGGACTTCAGATTTGGAAAGTTTTTGTTGACTTTAGAACTCAGATCGCGTTGGATGGAAGAAGGAATGGGATGTGAGTGGTAGGGGGATATTATCTTCTGACTTAATGATATGTTGGAGGTGGGCAAATCAGGGCATTGGCCTCCCTGTCCTCCCATTTGGAGAAGTCTGGCCCTCATCTGGCACTTTCCCTTGGAGGCCACTGGTCTCCCAGGGCTGTCCAATGCCCGGTGCTGAGTGGGCTCTGCCCCGTTACAGCCCTTGTCCTTCATGGGCTCAGTGCAGACCCAGCTCAGCCCCTAGCCAGAGCCGTCTCATCCCTAGGATCTTCCCCAGCTGCTCCTGCTCTGGATTTCTAGTGTTCACCTGGACATCTCTTGAAGTACGTGCTCCTTTAAACCTTGCTTGCTTTCATTGTAATTGTGGTTTTTTCTTTCCTCTTTTCTGCTAATCTAAAAAGTCCAGGCAGGATCCATGGCAGATTCACCTCGGTATTCCCAGGGAGGTGTATTTCTTCACATTTCTACCAGATATGAACCGAAAGCATGCTGACTACACAATAAAGACTGAGTAAATTCACCAAAGGAGATGCCTAACTGCATCAGAACACAAAATAGTGGCCAATGATCTGACATGATGTGTGTCTTTGGGTGAAACGCTCTTTGTAGATAAATAACAATTTTGAAGTCATCAGAAACAGATTAGATGCCAAGTAAATAAGGGAAACCAAACCATCCCATAGCCAGAAAACATACCAGTTCAGAACTTCAACCATGTGGAAAACTACAGCAATAGAAAGGCACATGGCATGGTAGGGGAGGTTTGGAATGAGACGGAGGAAGACCCCATCTATCCGCGGGGTATGGCTTTGCACATGTGTGATCCCAGCACTTTGGGCAGCTGAAGCAGAAGCATTGCAAGCTCTAGCTCAGCCTGGGCAATTTAGCAATTTAGTGAAACCCTGTCTCAAAATAAAAAAAGAGTTAGAAATGTAGCTCAGTGCAAAGCCCTGGGTTTTGTCCCCAGTGATTTAAAAAAAAATTATAGGATTTAGTGGGCGTTGTTCTTGAGATGCAAGGAATGTTCAACATACATAAATCATTCACTGTGACACCACACTGACAAGTGAGATGCAAAAACTGCATGATCATCTCAACAGATGCAGAAAAAGCGCTTGCCAAAATTTAACATCTACGCATGTTTTTTTAAAAATTTCAACCACAAAGGTAGAGTAGGAATATATTTCAGCACAATAAACACTGTATGTAAAAAACCCATAGATAAACCAGGTATAGTAGCGCACACCTGTGATCCCTGTACTTGGGAGGCCGAGGCATGAGGATCCTTATGAGTTCGAGACCAGCCTGAGCTACAAAGGAGCTCAACACCAGCTGAACTGCATAGCGAGAACCTGTCTCAAAGACACCCCCCCCCAAGAAAAAAGAACGTCGATAGCGTCATATTTCATAGGGGAAAGTTGAAAACTTTTCCACTGAGATGTTTACAAGGGAGGGACACCCACTCACACTGCTTCTACTTTACACATTACAAGTCTTGGTCAGAGCAAGGAGATGAGAAGAAAATAAAAAGAGCACACAAAACAGAAAGGAAAAGCTCAAATACTTTTGCAGATGGCATGAATATGTAAAAAGCCAAAACAGACAAACAAACAAACCCCTAAGGACTCAACAATAATAGCATTAGAACTACTAAATTCAGTAAAGTTGTGTGATACAAAACCAACATACAAAAATCAGTGACATTTCTACATCTAAGCAATCATCCATGTGTAAAGGAAATTGGAAACAATTTTATTTGCAATAGCAGTAAAAAGCATAAAATATTTAGGAATAAATTTAACCAAAGAAGTAAAAGATTTATACACTGAAAATTGCAGTGCATTGATGAAAGATATTAAAGAGAATCTAAGAAATAGGTGACTAGTGTTGATGGACTGAAGAATTAACCTGCTACAGCGTGCATACACCCAAAGTGACTCATTGCTCCCATGCAACCCCCACCCAAATCTCAATGGCATTATTTACACAAATAAAAAGCCTATAATCCATAAAAAGCCTATAATCCATAACAGAATACAAATAGCCAGAGGAATCTTGAGCAAGAACAAAATACATGACATCATGCTTTCTGATTTCAAAATATGTTACAAAGCTATACTACTTAAAATATACAGATTTGGCATAAAAACACATAGAGAAAAAACACAGTACTGCTCTTACAAACAAATGTGTGTGTTTATACTCTACTGATTTTTAGCAGCGGTGCTAAAAGTATGCAACAGGGAAGGATGGTCTTTTCAATATGGTTCGGAAAGCCAGGCACATGGGAAGCTGGGGGAGGGAGGGTCACAAATTTCAGTACTTCCAGGTCAGTTTATTAAAATCCTGTCTCAAAAGATTTGGGTGGGGGTTGGGGATTTAGCTCAGCAGCATAAGCGCCTGCCTTGTAAGCAGGCAGTCGTGAGTTCGATCCCTGGTACCGATAAAAAAAGAAAAAGACAAAAAAAAAAATGTTTTGTGTTTTCCTTTAAAATAAAAATTTTAAAAACCTAAAAGGACTAAGGATGTAGGGAGTGGTCTCAAAAAAAAAAAAAAAAAAAAAAAAAGATACTGGGAACACTGAGTATCCTGGCTATCCACACGCAGAAGGATGAAATTTGACCCTTATCTCACACCATATACCAAACCAACTCAAAATGAAATTAAAGGTTTAAATGTGCTGGGCATGGTGGCACATTCCTGTAATTCTAGCACCCAGAAGGCTGAGACAGGAGGATCGTTGTGAGTTTGAGACCAATTGAGTTACCAAATGAGGTCAAGGCCAGCCTGAACTACATAGTTAGACCTATCTTGACAAAGAAAAAAAAAATGATTTAAATGTAACACCTGAAAACAAAAAAAAATTAAAAGAAAACAAGTAATTTTTTTTAACTTTTTATTTTATTGGTATATTTTGTTTGCTTTGTTTTTCTTTTTTTGAAAAGACAGGGTCTCCCTATAGTTCAGACTCCCTATAGTTCAGTGAATCCACTGTAGCCTAGGTGGTCTTGAACTCGAAGCAATCCTCCTGCCTCAGCCACCTGAGTGCTGGGATTAAAGGCATGTGCCACCACACCCCACAGTACTGAGGATCTCCATACTGTTTTCCATAGTGGCTGTGCATCTATAGTCCCACAACAATACACAAATACATTTTATGAATACATAATGATAACAGAGGGGCTGGGAATTTAGTTCAGGCCTAAGCGCCTGCCTGGCAAGCGCAAGGTCATGAGTTTGATCCCCAGTACCAAAAAAAAAAAAAAAAAAAAAAAAAACCATAATGATAACAGTCAACATAGGAAGTTCATATCTATATGTGATGTATCTTGATTCTTTTTTCCCCATTCCCCTCCCCTCTTTTCAACCTCTCTTTATTTACAAAACCTATCTTTCTATTTTTTCCTTCCTTTTTTTGGTCTTATCCCTTCTTTGATTTCTCCCTCCCTCCTCCCTTGTTTCCCTTCTCATTTGGAAAATGCTTCTTGACACTGGTCTGTGCAGTGGCATATTTTGGATGGGAAACCAAAAGTACAGGCAAAAGAAAAAGCAGATAATTTGTATTTCATCAAACTGAAAATCTTCTGCACAGAAAGAGAAACCAATAGAGGAATATTGGCAAGTCACATATTGATAAGGAGTCAATATATGAAATACATAAGGTGCCCAGACAACTCAATAGGAAAATAAATAAATGTATACATAAAACAAATAACCCAAATGAAAACGTGGCTGAGAATTAAAAAGATATTTCTCAAAAGACATCCAGATGACCTCAGGTATATGAAAGGGTGTTCAACATCTTTAGTTGTCAAATCAAAACCACAGTGCATTTTCAGCTCTTACCTGTTAGAATAACTGTTATTGAAAAGACAAGACGTTGGGGCTGAGGATTTAGCTCAGCGGTATAAGCTCCTGCCTTGCAATAATGCAGTTGAGTTCAATCCCTGGTACCAAAAGAAAAGAAAAGACAAGAGGTAAGTGTTGGAAAAGGTGTGGGGAGGGGGTTATTTGCGTATTGTTGGTGGGACTATAGATGCGCAGCCACTATGGAAAACAGTATGGAGATCCTCAAACAATTAACAATATAACCACTCTATGATCTGGCTCTCCTTTTGGAAAGGGAATATAAGAAAAGGAAATGAAATCAGCCTGTGGAAGAGGCCACTCCTGAGGCCACTGCAGCATTTTTAGCCAGACACGGAATCAAGGTAAAGGTTCACAGATGATAGATGAATGAATGAGAAAAATAGACAGATTTGGATTGCATCACATTAATGGATATTGTTTAGCCTTTAAATCGAAGGAAATCCTACACTTTGCAGCAGTATGGATGAAACTAAAAGACATTAGGCCAAGAAAAATAAGCCAGGCAGAAACTCAAATATTGTGTCATCTCATTTTTATGTGCAATCTGAAATAGTTGAACTCAGAAGGACAGAGTGGAATGGTGGTTGCCAGAGAAAGAGGGGATGGGTGAAATGTTTCAATTATGCTTCCATTCTTACAAGTCGAGGTAAAAAAAGAAAG